TGAGGATCCCTCGGGCCCCCGCCTTGCCCGCTTTCCCCAGTCCCACCCGGTGCGCGTCTCATGGGGGACGACCCCCAAGTAGGTCCCGACTCCTGCCTTCGGGGTGGACCCGGCCGCTGCGTGAGGCGCGCGGCCTGGGCATGGTGTGTGCGGCCCGCAGATCTCACCGGTGGAATGTGAAGAGCAGAGCCCTCCGGTAACTATGGAAACCCAGGGACTAGCTGACATCAGAACTGTTTTTAAATCCTTTTGGTTTTTGAGGCACTGTCAAGGCTAGGGGGGGCTATTTTTAAAAATAGGAATGTTAAAATGTGGATGATGCCCCTAGAACATTCATGTTAGGACCTTTAAGATACTTTAAATTGCTTGGTAAACACATAACAGTAAATTGACTGTGCTTTGCGGACCTGTCAGATCTCCGTGGATCCAAAAGTCTGTTAAGAGTGGATGTGCACTTGATTTCAAAATAACCTTTTTAACACTTGATGGCCAGATGATTTCATTACTAACAGGCTCCGACATGTACACATTAGGCACCAAATTGGAGTCTCTCCAAATTAAAGGGTATAAGATTTTTTAATAATAAAAGTTCTAATTCATATTAACAGTTGTGCTATTTTTCTTCAGGTTTTGTATCAGATGTTCCACATAATGCTGGTAAGTATGAAAGGATTAATAAAATATCTATAGATAGAAATTAGTTTGTGCACATACAACACTAGTGGCTTTTTGGAAGCATAGCTTAAGAAGTATCAAGAACTGGGAAGAATCGGAGATTTTTACCATATTCTCCTCAGTTCCCTGAATCTCCTCTTCCCACAGGATGATGCAGAGTGGGTCAGAAATCCCCTGGATGTGGAGGTTTTGTGTTTCAGGACAGGAGCCCTGAGGTTAGGGATCCCAAATCTGTATTATTATGAGCAGCAAGCATGCCTTTCAAGGCTGTTCACTATGCAACTGTCCTTGAGACCAAGCAAAGGGCCGTTAGTACCTTTCTTGTAAGACCCCCAGAGATGCATCAAGAATTGTCTTGTGACAAAAAGACAATTAGTTAAAATCTAAATTGGTTATAAAACATATTAAGTCTCATAATTTGATGTACGTAAGTTGCCAATTTGACATGGTGATCTGATATTTGACATGAAACTCCAGTTTCCAACTCTAACCTGTGGATTGTCACAACCAAGTCAGTCTAGAGTTGTTTGTCCTTCTATATCCCACTCCTCTTTTTCTTTGTTGTGACTTTAAAAAGGTAGCATATGCATTCTAATCTGTAACAGAGTTTAAATTATTCTGAGAAGAAAAATTTTATTACAAAATCCATATTTTTAAAGTGTTAACTATAATAACCATCCATGATCCTACCAGTGTACACATAAGCATTTTTGTTAAATAAAAATGAGATTATACCATGCACACTATTTTATGACTTGCTTACCTAATTTGAACTGAATGTTTTAACCTTTACTGGCTGAATAAATATTCCATTATATGGCTATCACATACATACCTTATTTAACCAATCCACAATTATTGGATATCTGTGTGTATCTAGTTTTCATGATTGTGTAAAGTTCATAGGTTGTTGTTACACTATAGAAACATGCAGACATACCAGATAGATAATGCTTGTGCTTTTGAAGAGAGTGGTTAATAACAGTTTTTGGAATTCTAACAATTTGATTCACATTCTTAAAACTAAATCTTGGCTCACATCCTTAAATTTTTGGAAACGTTTTTATTTCAAGTACAGCACTAAATCTCTGAACATTTATTGACAACACAATGTGGTAATCCTCTATTATTCAACAAGCAGAAAGAAAAACTGGAATCTAGAAATCTCAGTTTAACACTTGTGATTTTATCCACTGGATAAAAACTTATTTTCACATAGCCTTTTCTATTTTGTATTTAAGGTTTTTTGTTTAATTACAATTTTGTTTCTCCCATTTCCAATAGATGCTTTTCTGATAAGAAAAAAACAGTATAATTAGAAAACATACATTTTAAAGCTATTAAAGTAATTTTATTAATTTTAGGAGTTAAGAAGTTCCCATTCTATTGCTTTGAACCAGAAGACTTTGTTCCCTGTATATAGAATAGGAGTAATGTTTAAAAACATCTGGCTGGTGTTTAAAACTGAAGATTGTCATGACTGTTTATTCTAAGCCCTATGCTGAAGTAAGGTTAATTGTCTTGGAAATACTAACTTGGGTAAGTATTTTTATAAAGGTTTATGTTGAGTGGTGAGATAAGAAGATCTGAAAATATGAAAGTACTCTGTTAGATCAGCAGTGGAACTACCTTCAGTCTTGTGCTAATTTGAGGCTAATAGCTCAGGAATTTCTGTAATTTGTGGCTAATTAAGTCTAGGCTTGAGGCAGTTTTCAAACAGTGAGTTAGATTGGAAAAAAATTTTTTTTTAATTATAAATTCAGAATGCATCATCAGGTGTGGTGGCTCATGTCTGGAATCCTAGCACTTTGCAGGCGGAGGCAAGAGGATTGCCTGAGCCCGGGAGTTCAAGACCAGCCTGGACAACTTGGCAAGACCTCATCTCTACAATAAACCAAAAAATTAGCCAGGCATGGTGGTGCACGCCTGTAGGTTCAGATCTTGGAAGGCTGAGGTGGAAGCCTGAGCCCAACAGGTTGAGGCTGGGGTGGCCGTGAATGTGCCACTGCACTCCGGCCTGGGTGAGGGAGTGAGACTCCAACTCAAAAAATAAATAAATAAACAAATTCAGAATGCTCAGAAAGCATGTTTAGTTTCAAGTGTGCCTAGGTATATAATACAATACTAATGTGATTGTCAATTTTTGCCTTATTGTTATTTATTACATTGTTTCTGTAAGAAAGTGAATTCTGCATTTAAATCTCAGGCTAGTCAGATGTACTTGAATTAGGCATTTAGAGACACAAGGATCCAGAGCATCACAATATTATGTACCATCTAAATTCATACAACAGGAGACATACCTCATAAATTATTCTTTAGATATTCTAAATTGACAGATACAGAATACTTTTATGTGAGTCAAGAACTGTATTCTGTCTTCACTATAAGGTATCATCAAAACTAGAGAATACATGTGGTAAAATTCCATGTTTTTCATTTTTAATTGATTTCTTTCTTTCTTTCTTTCCTTCCTTCTTTCCTCCCTCCCTCCCTCCCTTCCTTCCTTCTTTTCGTCGGAGTCTCACAGTGTACCATGCTGGAGTGCAGTGGCACACTCACGGCCACTGCAGCCTTAACCTGCTGTGCTCAGGCAATCCTTCTGCTTCAGCCTTCCAAGTAGCTGGAACCACAGGTGCATGTCACCAAGCCCGCTAATTTTTTTATTTATTGGCGAGACGAGGTCTTACCAAGTTGTCCAGGCTGGTCTCGAACCCCTGAGCTCAGGCAGTCCTCTCACCTCAGCCTCCCAAAGTGCTGGGATTACAGATGTGAGCCACCACGCCCAGATGATCTTTTTCTTATTGATGGGCCCTACCTTTCTTTTTAGGATTTCTTGCTAAAACCTCAGAATGATTATAAAGTAGGTCACAGACGTAGTATTATGATTAGTGTGTACTTAAGAGACTGATGAATATTTTCATGTAACTAAGCATCTTTTTTGCCAAAATGACTTACTTAGTATTTTATTTTTAAAGTAATGAGGCCGGGTGCAGTGGTTCAGCCTGTAATTCCAGCACTTTGGGAGGCTAAGACAAGAGGATTGCCTGAGCCCAGGGTTCGAGACCAGCCTGGGCAATTTGGTGAGACCTTGTCTCTATAATGAATCACAAAAACTAGCCGGGCATGGTGGCATCCATCTGTAGTTCCAGCTACTTGGAAGGCTGAAGCAGAAGGATCATCTAAGCCCAGAAGGTCGAAGCAGCAGTGGCCATGAGTGTGCCACTGCACTCCAGCCTGGGCGACAAGAGTGAAACTCTAACTCGAAAAAAAAATTGAAAAATTAATAAATAAAGTAATGAGTAGTCTTTCAGTATTCTGTTTCTTAGCACTGGAGTTTGGTACTTAGAAACATGAACTTTGGAATTAAAGACTGGTTTGACTCCAAAATTCCAGCTCTGCCACTTAATAGTGTTTAACCACTTTAAACTCCAGTTTATATATATATATACTGGATATATATATATATATATATACATATATATATGTGTATATATATATATATATCTTTAAGATAGGATAATAATAATTCTTACTTAATAAAGTTGTGATAATTATCTGATGAAAACTTTTTAGGCCTAATACCTGTCATATAGTGATCTCAAAAATATTATTATTATTATTATTATTATTATTATTGTTATTACAAAATTTTATATAGAGACAGAGTCTTGCTCTGCTGACCCTACTGGTGCTGAACTCTGGAGTTCAAGGCACTTTCCACTTTGGCCTCTCAGAGTAGTGGGATAATGGGCATGAGCCACCATGCTTGACTAAAAATGTTATTTTAAGTTTTATTTATTTATTTTTTAGTCAGCGTCTCACTCTGTCACCCAGGCTCCCACAGCCTCAATCTTCTGGGCTCAGGCAGTCCTTCCACCTCAGCCTTCCAAATAGCTGAAACTACAGGCACATGCCACCACACTCACCTAACTTTTTTATTTATTGTAGCGACAAGGTCTTGCCAAGTTGCCCAGGCTAGTCTTGAACCCCTGGGCTCAGGTAATCCTCTCATCTCAGCCTCACAAAGTGCTGTAATTACAGACATGAACCATCACACCTTGTCATTATTTTTATTTATCTTTTGTTTTCACACATTAATTATAGCCTTTCCTGGATACTCTATATAATTATTTTGTGCATGATAATTTTCATTCATACCATCAGTTAACAATCTTATTGTTTCCTAGCCAGGCGCAGTGGCTCACCCCTGTAATCCCAGCACTTTGGGAGGCGAAAGTGAGAGAATTATCTGAGCCCATGGGTTTGAGACCAGCATGGGCAACTTGGCGAGAATTTGTGTCTACAATAAATCAAAAAAGTTAGCTGAGCATGGTGGCACGTGCCTGTAGTTCCAGCTACTTGGAAGGCCCAGCAGACTGAGACTACAGTGGCTGTGAGCATGCCACTGCACTCCAACCTGGGTAAAAGAGTGAGACTCCGACTCAAAAAAAAAAAGCTTATTTTTTCCTTTTGAGATTTATAATTAATGACCTTCATTCTCTTCTAATGAAAACAGAGACATAAGTAATCATTACACCATAAACGGTGTAATTACTCAGGTGTATTCAGATTATTTGGCACCCTAGAGCAGTTAAACAATGTAGAGAAGTCATAAATATATATGTGAAAACTGTTAACAAAAGTTATTTCTAGTTTGTAAAAATTAAATTGGCCTCCAATTCTCAGGTAATTTGTTCACAATTTCAAGTAGAGCATTGGCAATCATTTAGTTATAACAACATTTAGAGATTGATTTCAATCCAAACACACCTTTTAAAAAAATTATTTTATATATTGCAAGTTTTCATGGTATGTTAAGTTTGTTCAGAATTTTGGTTAAACACACAGAATCTATATTATACATAACCTGTCCTTTAATATGAGTATTATTGCAAAATTTTAAATCTAATTAAGTATGACTGTGATTGATACTAATATTTAAATGATAGTAAAAATAATTGCATTTCTCTATCTTAAAACTTTTATAAGAATCATCCCCACAGGAACACAATAATGCTATAAGTATCCTTTTTATGTATTTTGTTTTCCATTCACTTAAAATACTCAAATATGAACCTTGCTCTTTCTGAAAAAGTGTTTATGTGGTGGTCTTAAAATGCTTAATTGTTTATATTCCTTGTCTTAGCAAACTAATTTTTAATTATGTTTATTAAATAAATATAATAGCTAGATATATAAACAGAATATGTTTATATATTTAAAATGTGAAATAAAAAATAAAAATAATATTTCCTTTTCAGGATAATCGAGATCTACTTCTGGAACCATGAAAATTTTGCTGGTTTTTGACTTTGACAATACAATCATAGATGAAAACAGTGACACCTGGATTGTTCAATGTGCTCCAGACAAAAAGCTTCCTATTGAACTACAGGATTCTTATCAAAAAGGATTTTGGACAGAATTCATGGGCAGAGTCTTTAAGTATTTGGGAGATGAAGGTGTAAGAGAAGATGAAATGAAAAGAGCAGTGACATCAATGCCTTTCACTCCAGGGATGGTGGAACTTTTCACCTTCGTAAGAAAGAATAAGGATAAATTTGACTGCATCATTATTTCAGATTCAAATTCAGTCTTCATAGATTGGGTTTTAGAAGCTGCAAATTTTTATGATATATTTGATAAAGTGTTTACAAATCCAGCAGCTTTTAATAGTAATGGTCATCTCACTGTGGAAAATTATCATGCTCATTCTTGCAATAGATGCCCAAAGAATCTTTGCAAAAATGTAGTTTTGGTAGAATTTTTGAATAAACAGTCGCAACAGGAAGTGAATTATACACAAATTGTTTATATAGGTGATGGTGGAAATGATGTCTGTCCAGTAACCCTTTTAAAGAAGAATGATGTTGCTATGCCACGGAAAGGATATACCTTACAGAAAACTCTTACCAGAATGTCTCAAAAGCTTGAGCCTATGGAATCTTCTGTCGTAGTTTGGTCCTCAGGTGTTGAAATAATTTCTCATTTAAAATTTCTAATAAAGGAATAATATGCCAACAGTGGAAAAGTCTATCAGTTAGGATTAGGTTCAACAACATAAAACTAAAACCCCCAAATACCAAAGATTCCCCCCTCCCTTAAAATAATTCCAGAGGTAAGTATTTCAAGGTTGCTGTGTTGCTCTACCAACCTCAATACTTGACTTCTAACCCATGACCCAAGGTTGCTGGTCAGACTCCAGCCCTCATACCAATATTCTGGCCAGCATGAAGGAGGGAAGTAAGAAGGTTACATCCACCTATCTAAGGAGATTTCTCAGAAGTTGTACCCAATACTTCTATTTAAATATCATTGGCCAAACTTTGTCATGACACCTCACTTGTAAATAGCAAGGATGGTTGGAAAATACAGTTTTTTCATTCCAGCTGATCATATGCCCAGGAAAAGTTGGGTGGGGGGAAGAGAACAGAATTGAGGTAGGTACAGCTTGTGGTCTTTACTACAGATGGTTGATAGATTGTGTTTTTTGTTTGTGTTTTTGTTTTTTGGAAAGAATTTTTTGAGAGGACAGAAGTCAATATGTTTTAAAGATAGAGATGCAGTCTCTTGCTCAAGCTTTCATCAATTTCAGGCTTTCCTTCTGAAATGAAATACATATTAATTCTCTTCAAATATTGTAAATTTATAGCATCATAGACAACTACAGTATCAGTTCATTGATGTTATTACAGTGTGTTATTTTTATTTAGCAATGCAGTCTTGAGCAATACAATACTCTAATTTTTAGGAATACTCAGTATTTAAAAGACCGTTTCATATAGGGATATTAGCAAAATATCAACTGATCTAAGAAGTTTTATAAATCCATGCTGATTTCTAGGTTTACGTTTTAGCCATAAATATTCGAGACCCACCTGGGCAACTTGGCGAGACCTCATCTCTACAATAAATCAAAAACTAGGCGGGTGTGGCAGTGCATGCTTGTAGTTCCAGCTACTTGGAAGGCTGAGGCAGAAGGATCGCAGGAGCCCAGCAGGTCAAGGCTATGGTGACTGGGAGCAGCTACTGCACTCCAGTCTGGGCGACAGAGTGAGACTCCAACTTAAAAAATATATATGTATATATATATTTTTTTTTTTTCTGTATGTAATAATATTAGGATTTTCTTTTCCAAATTATGGAAAGCTCCAGAAATAGAGATATTCATTATAATTTAATAGGAAAAAATTGATGCTTTCCCATCTTTTTTATTTCTTTTTGTTAGAGTCTCACTTTGTCACCTAGGCTGTAGTGCAGTGGCACGCTCATGGCAACCACAGCCTCAATCTGCTATGCTCAGTTGATCCTTCTGCCTTGGCCTTCTAAGTAGCTGGAACTATAGGTGCGTGCCACCATGGCTGGCTAATATTTTTATTTATTTTTTTGTTTTTTGGGGGGGGGTTTGAGAGTTTGATTTTTTTTTATTAATATTTTTTATTATGATTTTGTGGGGTACAGTTAAGGGTTAGGTGTACAATTACGTTTCATTCAGGCACCCTGTTGATAAGAGGTGTTTCCCCATCCCCAGACAGATATTTGCGACTGTTAATCCCATCCCCCTCCCCCCCATATTTTTATTTATCGCAGAGACAAGGTCTTGCCAACCTGCCCAGGCTAGTTCAGTCTATTTTTTCTAAGGTGAAAAAAATAAATCTCACACCTCATCAACAAGGGTACCTGCATGATGAACGTCTGTATACCTAATCCTGAATTGTACCCCACATCTTTAAAAGAAAAATAAATAAATCTTTGTTTGGTTTTAATAGGTTATACTATGTTGAAACACATCTACCCTTACAGATTATGATTTGTCTACATATTGAGGCCAGTAATAAATTATAAATTATGGAAGGAAAAAATAAGACTTTCACTTACAGTAATGGTAAACCAAGTAATTTGGACTAGATCTTCTGCTGAGAACATCTAGAAAAGCTAACAGCTGAACAGAATTTTTAGAACACTTGTTTGAAGACATTAGAGAGCAGGCAACAATGAAGAATTCCCGAGGAAGCATAGAAAGGTGAACTGTTTCCTCTGTACTGGCCAGCTCTATGAGTGGTGGCTGAGATGCTGAATCGCTATGTTGATAACCTTCTGGGACCAGAGAGAAGATACATTGGAGTATGGGGCCTGCAATGATAAGTCCTTGCCCTTACTTTGAGTATCCCAAGTAGGTACTCGGAAGGAGTAAGAATGATCCCTTTGACGGGATGGCCACTCAGTTTCAAGTATTCCCAGTTTCTGAAATTGGATTAAGGTTATCTAAGAGTTTTAGAGCTCCCAGGTGCCTGACAGAAGCAAATCTAAATTTGCTTTTCAGGAAGAAGTTAACATCCTGGGTGCAGCTGACAGACTCTAAAGTAGCCTCTGTGATCCCTGTCCCCTGATACTGCTTGAGTTGGGGGGACTCCTAATACTTACTGCTGATCAACAGAATATCATGAAGATGATGTGATATACATGATTATGTGTACATGATTACATCAAATTCTAATTTCCATATTGTTAAGAGAGTCCCTTGATTTTATTTTTTATTTTTATTTATTTATTTATTTTTGAGTTGGAGTCTCACTCTGTCGCCCAGACTGGAGTGCAGTGGCTGCTCCCGGCCACCTCAGCCTCTACCTGCTGGGGTCTGGCGATCCTTCCGCCCTTGATTTTAAAGAAGCAGGCTGCCGTGTTGTAAACTGGCCTCTGGAGAGGGTCACATAGCAAACAACTGGAGGCTACTGCCTCTAGCCAATAGCAAGAAATAGGTCTTGTTCCAATTGTCTGCAAGAAACTGAATGTTGCCAACAACCCTGTGATTTTGGAAGTGAATCCTGCCTTAATGAAGCTGCAGTTGAGACCACGGCTTCAGCTAACACCTTGAATTGCAGCCTTGTAAGACCATGAAACAGAGGAGCGTGCTAAGCTGTCTTTGGACTCCTGACCCACAGAATCTGTGAGATAATAAATGTATGTTGTTGTAAGACACTAAATTTGTAGAAACATTTTTACACACCAGTAGTAAACTAATATACTAGGTCTCAAAATAAATCTATAAGTAGTTTTGCAAGTACATTATAAGGCACAGAGACGGTAACTACCCACACAGACATGAGTGAACACCAACAGAAGTTTCCATTTTAAAAGACCTGCAGGGGCCGGGTTCGGTGACTCAACCTGTAATCCCAGCACTTTGGGAGTCTGAGGCGAGTGGATTGCCTGAGTCCGTGGGTTGGAGACCAGCTCCGGCAACTTGGTGTGACTCGTCTTTACAATAAATCAAAAAATTAGCTGAGTGTGGTAGTGTTCCTGTAGTTCCAGTTACTTGGAAAGCTGAGGCAGAAGGATCGCCTGAGCCCAGCAGATCGACACTCGGGTGGCCGTGAGTGTGCCACTGCACTCCAGCCTGGGCGACAGAGTGAGACTCCAAAAAAAAAAAGGCCGGGCTGGGTGACTCAGCCTGTAATCCCGCGCTTTGGGAGGCTGAGGTGAGTGGATTGCCAGAGCCCGCGCGTTCCAGTCCCACCTGGGCAACTTGGCGACACTTCATCTCTGCAATAAATCAAAAAATCAGCCGGGCGTGGTCGCGCGCGCCAGTGCTACAGGCGTCCAAAGACTGCTACTTGGAAGGCTGAGGCGGAAGGATCGCCAGAGCCCAGCAGGGCGAGGCTGCAGTGGCCGGGAGCGTGCCACTGCCCTCCAGTCTGGGTGACAGAGTGAGACTTCAACTCAAAAAATAAAAGATCTGCAGGACCTCTAGCTCTTGGAGTTTTCAAAGACAAATATCTAAAAAGAAAAGAAAAAATGGCTAGGTGCGGTGGCTCACACCGTACTGCTTGAGCTCAGGAGGTCTAGACCAGCCTCGGTAACATAGTGAGACCTTACCTCTACAAAAAAAATTGAAAAATTAGCTGGGCATGATGGCACGCGTCTGTAATCCCAGCTACTCAGGATACAGATGCGGAAGAATCACCTGAGCTCAGGAGGGCAAGGCTGTGGTGAGCCATGATTACGCCATTGTCTCCAGTCTCGGTGACAAAGTGAGACCCCAACTGAAATAAATAAATAAATAAATAAATAAATAAATAAATAAATAAATAAATAAATAAGAAATTTAAACTTCTGAGAATCTTGGCAACAACTTGAAAATTATATTAAAGACAAAATGGAGTCTGAACGCGGTGGCTCAAGCCTGTAATCCCAGCACTTTTGAAGGCCAAAGTGAGAGGATTGCCTGAGCTCAGGGGTTCAAGACCAGCCTGGGCAACTTGGTGAGACCTCGTCTCCACAATAAGTCAAAAAATAAGCTGGGCATGGTAGTGCATACCTGTAGTTCCAGCTGCTTGGAAGGCTGAGGCAGAAGGATCGCCTGAGCCCAGCAGGTCCAGGCTGTGGAGGGCGTGAGCATGCTACTGCACTCCAGCCTGGGTGACAGAGTGAGACTGACTCAAAAAACAAAACGGAACAGCTAGATTGGAGGAATAAGTTCTAGTGTTCTATCACACTGTAGGATGACCATAGTAATAATATTTGCATTTTTTTAATGATTTAAAAAAATTTTTTTAGAGGCAGAGTCTCACTTAGTTGTCCAGGTTGAAGTGCAGTGGTGTGATCCTAGCTCACTGCAGCTTGGAATTCCTGGGCTGTAGCAATCATCCCTCCTTAGCCTCCTGAATAGCTAGGACTGTGGGTATGTGCCACCATAATGGGTTAATTTTGTGTTTTTTATAGAGACTGGGTCTTGCTATGTTGCTAGCAAGACCCAGTTTCAAACTTCTGATCTCAGGTAGTCTTCCTGCCTCAGTCTCCCAAAGTGCTGAGATTAAAGATGTGAGCCCCCATGCCCAGCTTGTAATAATATGTATTTTCACATAGCTAGAAGTGAAGGTATCGAATGTTCCCAACACAAATAAATGATAGATGTTTGAGATGATAGATATGCTAATTGACCTAATTATTATACATTGTATGTATCAAAATATTACCATGTATCTCATACATATGTACAATTATTTGGTGTCAATTTTAA